CCTTGTGAAGTCTCAGCTCAGAGCATTGAAGGCAGCCTCTCATGATCTCCGCTCTCTTTAGGAAAACTTCCTGACAGTCCTTTCCTCTCAGTGAAGCCAAACTCCACAGTGCGGTCTGGAGACAACGTGACCCTGCTGTGTCAGTCAGCATACACGACAGACACTTTCATTCTGTCCAAGGAGGGAGCAGCACACCAACCCCAGCGAATGAAATCCAAGTCCCAAGATGGGGAGTTCCAGGCAGAATTCTCCATGACTGCTGTGACCTCTGCCCTCTCAGGCACCTACAGGTGCTACAGGTCTCAAGACTCATCTCCCTACCTGTTGTCACATGCCAGTGTCGCTGTGGAGCTCTCTGTCTCAGGTGAGTTGACCCTGAACTCTCAGGGTGACTTGCAATCCAAACACTAGGGGAGCCCTTGGCTTATGCGGGATTAAAGGGCCAACAAGAAGGTTGAGTCAGAAGGCTCTTTCCCTGACAGAGAAGTGGATGCCAGCAGGGTCCCTTAAGTAATGGCCACTCCATCCTCTATTGCAATCTAGGTTTGGGTAGACAGCATGAGGGTCTTGGGGAGGTTACAGGGCAGATGTAGGACAGACAGCAGAGCCAGGTCTCTGAGTTAGCATCTAACCCTCACCCCCTTTGTTGTTCCCTTGCCCACAGCTGGTAGGTATCAGACACCTCAAGTGAAGGAAGAAGGGTCCATCCCCTGGCTGCCCCACCTGAGCCCACCAAAGTCCTCATTTCTCTGTCACTTAGCTTGTGACTGTGGAAGGCAAACAGATCCCAACAGAGACCCCAGAAGCCCAGGACGTAGAGGTTGGGTTACAGAAGATGGTGTCCAGAGAGAGATCTTTTTGCTCAGTCTGGAGGATGGGGCAGGTGGCTAGGGTGGAGAGGAGGGATCCCAGACACTCACCTCTCCATCAGCCTCTAAGGTCTGAGAAATCACCTCTCACCTGCATTGAGTCAGGCCCCAGAAGTCTATGTAACCATCCTGTTGGATGTGGTACCCAGATGGGCAATAGCTAGTTATTGGCTGGATACAGCTGCTTATGGAGATGCTGACTTGGACAACTTCCCATTCTGGGCTGCCTGCTGGTTCTCTGAGTATAAAGTGAGAGGCTTGGCCCACATGTGTAAA